ACAGAAACACTAGCTGACTGATAAAGTCTGATCAGGTTGTCTGACATTGCCTGCTGTTAGTTATTAGTTTGATTAATGCTTTAGTAATGTGTGTATTGATGACTGACGGTGGCTGATCAGGATCATTATCAGCTCACTTTACTCGGTTTCTAACAGCAGTGTGCAGTAAATTATTTCCCTCTGTGCCTCTTTTTAAACTACTTTCATAAGTAGTTTAAAAGCTCCTGTTAGCTGCAGCTACAGTCAGTGTAACGTCGTCATAAAACCAAAACAACAAGCTGAAAAACACTAAAATACTCTGCAGAGCTGCAGATTTAATCCCTCACTACAAAGTCATTTTATCAATTAATATAAAAATATTGATTAGAGCAGCTTTAAGATTAAGATCTGATCAGTTTAACCAGTTGAGAAAACTTAAAATTTCAACTGTTTTCACTACATTTTTAGGTTTTAACTTGAAATTTTACGTTTTGGTGATTTGTTCTTCACACCAGAGTCACGACTCACTTTTATATAATTCAAATCAAAATGTTTAAATAAGCTGCAACATCGTTGTTTAACAGACATCTGTGGAAACGTTTCTGTCACAGTGAAGCACGAGGATGTTTTACACTATTAAACTAACAGTGTCAGAATCAGTCAGTATCTTTCACCAGATTCTCACCAACACAGTCCGACAATATCTGATTACACTCAACAATAAAAGAAAAACTGAAGCTGCTGGTGAAGTTTCTTTCAACTCTGCTTCTTCCCTGATCAACAGAATAATAATATATCTGATATTCTCAACAAAACCAACAGTATCCACTAACAATGTTATTGTATCACAGGCTGATAAATCTTCTTCCTCTGAGCTCTAAAACCAATAAAAACACATCTATGAGTTAAACTGTTGCTCTGACATCTTTCATTTCCATCAGTCCCTCCAGGATTTCACAGGCAGTTTGTTTGGGATCGTTACGGCTTAAAACGTCTGATTTCACGGCAACTTTTCTAAAAAAAAAAAGCATGTTGTGATGATTTTAGGCTTTTTTTTGCAATGAAATTGAAGATTTGATTAGTGAAACTCACAGGAAACAACGATTGGTCCAATTTGCAGAAACGTTACGATGATCGGACAAAATTGTACGTTAGCGTTCTGTTTTGGGATCGTTACGGCCTAAAACGCCTGATTTCACGGCAACTTCGGTTAAAAAAAAAAATCTGGTTCATGTTGATGATTTTAGGCTTTTTCTTGCAATGAAATTGGAGGAAAAAGTTTGTTTAATTCATAAAATATTTAATGGAACTTGTCCAACGTTTGGTTAACTTTGGGTAAAGGTTTCTGCGATTGGACCAAATTGTAAGTTTCTGCAGAATTCACATGAATTAGTTGAATTTGCGTTAAATGCTACGACTTCCTGGAGAGTGACTGAAGTTTATTTTGACTCGGTCCGACATTCACCGTCCTTCTGCCCCAAATACTCACTAAAGCACCAAATGTGGATTAATGCGCCGCTGAAAATAGTCCCAGAGAAATGCACCGTTTCGTCCTGTTTGAGTAACGTTTGATAAAAACTAAATTATTGAGCCTCTTTTAAAAATGAGACTATATATTTATGAGCTGTTTTTACAGATTTACACTGTTTTGGTTCATTGGATTTGTTTTTAGTAAAAATATAGAATATATATTTATATTTGCACTGAAGACAGAAACCAAAGCAGCCGACCTTTAAAACAGGCTCAGGAAACAAGAGTCACAAAGAAACTTTATATAGTTTTCAAGTATTCAAAACTGTTAAATAAGTACAAGATGTGTTCACATGATTTACATATTGGACAATATACACACTGCCCATTTTTAATTCTCTTTACATGTTTCCCACTACCCACGCAACACGCTAAAATGTCCGCAAACTATTCACATTTGTTTTGCTTTTTTTTTTTTGTAGGTTTTTTTTTGTTGCTTTTTTTTTTCCTCTTTTACTTTTTGAATCAATTGGAAATCTTTGACAGCTGTCTATTGGACAAAGACCACACAGACGGTACAACCTGGAACAGTTTACAGTGTAGGATGGAGACGTCCGACGAAAGGGAGGAAGGACAGACTGAGCCAGGTTTCAGAACGGCGATTAGCTGCTGGTGATATGAACAGTACATATTAACACAGGAAACGTGGGTTAACATTCAATCTCAGTTGATCCCTTGATCTGTTGGACAGTTCACTTTACTTCCACACAACAGAAATAAAATAATATACAGAAGGACTGACGGTTGAAGTGTTTCTGTATCACGAGAAGGGGAAGCAGATGATGGCGTTAGCATTTTGTTTTTAACTCTGTTGATTAATCGTGCAACAAATTTGGTCAAAATGTGTCAAAGTTTTTTTTCTTTAAGGCACCTAATGCTGTTATACTGTAAAACAAACTACACAGAGAAGTTGAGAAAACTCAGAATTTTAACTGTTTTTAAGATATTTTTAAGTTTTAACTCAAACTCGAAATTTAAAGTTTTGAAATAAACTTTAAAAAAGTTTATACGCCGCTTTCTAAAATATTTGGATCATTTACTTTTATCTCCTGGTTTCAAAAATTGTTCACAGCCAATTATTTTGGTGCTTGAAAATTAAATAATTGCAAATAAAAATATTAATTTAAGATTTTTTCACTCTAGAGAGTTTAAAGAATTTTTCCAAAACTTAAAAAAGATTCAACTCAAACTTTCAAGTTTTAAAATACAAGTTTATTCAATCTATTTTGTTGAGATTGAATTTTCTTCTTCAGAAAATTTTTTATCTTTGAGTTTTAGAAACAAAAAAAGTCTAATTCAGAAATTTACCTGATTATTGATTACCTGGCTGCTTTAAATAATTTATATCCTTTAATAGTTGCAACTGAAAATATGAAGTTTTTCACATTAATGAATTTCAGCAACTTCTTAAATACATTTAACTCAGTTAAGTTATTTTCTAAATAAAAAAAGGGTAAATTATCATTAAATCAATTTTAATCTTGAATTCTGAGTTTTCTCAACTTCTTTTTCCACAGCGTCGACAGTAAATCACTGTACAAACAAACATAGTGAGTGAGGTCCTGTAAAGAAAAACAAAAAACACAAACAGATAAAACAATTACTGACATAAAATGTGTCATTCATACAGAATTTGGGGGCCTGTTGGGAGTTAATGCTGCCACCATCCACCAATAACACACAGGACATAAAGTCAAACAGATGGTAAAGAAATAAAAATAGCACCATAGAGAAAAAGAATACATGATCCTAAGCTAGCAAGAACATTTCAGACGACGTGATTCTCCTCCTCAAACTCTAGTGTCGATGGACTTTTAACTTGCTTCCAAAAGTCAGATTCAGTAAATAAAAAAAAAACTGGACTTGAGAGAAAACAAAAAGGTCAGCCAGTCTTTCTGTACATTACCTCAGGATGAAGAAGCGTATAGGTAGCATTAATAAGTGGGTTTTGGTTTGAGTTCTCAGTTGTTTCGAGGGGTCGGACTTCGGGTGCCACGTTAACGTTCAACAGCAGCTCCAGGAACTAAAACGGTTTGAGCGGATTGTAAAAAACCTCGTGTGCTTTTTCATTTCTTGGAACTCTGCAGCTTAATTAACTTAACTTATTTACAGCGCTCTCTGCGAGGAGGAGGAGGAGGAGGAGGA